CCCTGGCTGATTGTGTTTTTTTTTTTTTTTTTTGGTTTAGTTTACTGTAATAACCCTGCTGACTGGTCTAATGTTGAGTTTAGTCTGGCTAATGGATCTGTAAACTTTCAGGTTGATTTTATTTCAGGTGTAATTGAGTCGGAATATGAGGAGACGGTATTGATCTGTATTTCGGCGGTGAGGTTAAAGCGAGGTCGGGTCGGCCGGTGAGCGAGGTTGAGGAAATTTGGGTGTCATTGGGACGTCTGGAGCAGATCTGGTGAAAGGCCTGCAGTCTGGCACTGATTCATACTTATTTGCATTTGTTTAAGTGCTATTTGGCCTTAACTGGAGAGACTGCGAATGAACGGCGGCTCATAAAACATCACCTTTGCCTTATGGAGCGTCCAGCCACATGCCAGTCATCAGCTTCCAGGAGCTCTTGTTATTCCAGACAACAATCGCAACTTCCGTTTCATGCCAACTTTAAGCTTTAGACCTTTGAAATCAATTTGGATTCATCATTTTTAGACAGATTTGTGTGGGTTTGTGGTTTGCATCTGATTTTGCAAACAAAACTTCAACAAAAATTAGAAATGCCACTTTGACAACTGACTGAAATAACATAACCTTAAGTACTAAAATTACTAAAACTAAAAGTGTAATAAAATAAATGCAAGCTAAATAGCAATACTTTTAATTTGAAGTACTAAAATTATTATTGAAAAATTGAAATAAAAATAAATTAAATCTAAATAGAAATATTTTAAAGTTTAATTGGAAGTACTAAAATTACTAAGCTAAAATAGAAATACAAATTAATTATTAGAAATATTTTCAAGTTATGTTGAAGTACTACAATTACTCAAATTAAAACAGAAATGAAAATAAATTCAAATTAAATAGAAATATGTAAAAATTTTAACAAAGTTATAAATGACAAATTAAATAGAAATAAAAATAAATTAAGCTAAATATAAATATTTTGAAATTTAGGTTGAAGTTCTAAAGTTATAAAAATAAAAATAAATTAACGTTAAATAGAAATGTTTTTACATTTAGGCTAACTTGAAATACTAAAATTACAAAACTTAAATGAAAATAAAAATAGAGATATTTTAAGTTTAAGTTGAAGTACTGAAATTACTAAAACTAAAACTGAAATAAAATAGATAAAAGCTAAATATATATATTTTTTTTAAATATAGTATCTATATCAGTATAGTATAGTTTCAGTTTAGTAATATATAGCCAGATTTGTTAAGTTTAGTTTCTAATAAAAAAAAATAAAAAATGCAGTTTTATTTGTAGATATTGTAGTACTAAATTAAAATTATATATATTCTCATATGTATGGTAGTATATCTATGATATATATATATATATATATATATAATATAAGTAAATACATTTGTTTTGGCAACCCCAAAATCTGTCCCACCTTAACCTCTCCACACCCACACTGCCATGTCTTTTATATAAGGACAGTAGGACAGATTTACAGAGAAACTGTAGACAGAGACAGACATTAAAAGATAAAACTGAAAAAAATTGTGAGTGAGTGAGAGAGAGTGAGAGACTGAATGTGCTGTAGTGAGCAAAAAGCAGTTCTATGTAAGCAGAGCTTCAGCCAGTTCCAGCTCGAGAGGGCCCCAGTACCCACAGATACTCAGTGCTGCCCACTCAGCTCTTTTCCTTTGTCTCCCACACTATTGTGTGCTCTTTCAAAAGAGGGGACCAGGTAGGGATGGGGACCATCGTAGGTGGGAGGGGTGGAGGTTTAGATAGAAAGAGAGACAGACATTATTTGCATTTGTTTAAGTGCTATTTGGCCTTAACTGGAGAGACTGCGAATGAACGGCGGCTCATAAAACATCACCTTTGCCTTATGGAGCGTCCAGCCACATGCCAGTCATCAGCTTCCAGGAGCTCTTGTTATTCCAGACATGTGCAATAGTGTGATGTATCAGGTGGCTAAGATAATGGTTTTATTCAGGAAAGACATTTTCTTCCCTGATTGTGAAATTTAAATTGATAGTGGTGCTTCTGATAGCAGGATGGAATTGGTTGTTCAGATAAAAGGATATGATTGTATTTTTTTATGCATTATGAAATTGTATGTGCCTATTTAAATAACTGTACACAACACATTATATATATAGCCTGTATTTTTCTGGAGGAAAGAGTGAGAATGAGGAAACATACTAACAAGTCGATTTTAACGGGTTCTTGATTGTGGTAAAAATAATACTTTATGATCCTTTTGGGTTTTATATATAAAATATGTGTGTGAGTGCATACATACATATCCTGCTTAATATGTTAATATCCTGTCACGGGATGCCAGGAGAGACAAGGTAAGATCCAGGTGTAGTTTATTGAAAGTAACAAATAATCAAAACGGAACAAAAACATGGCAAAAGGTAATCCAAAAACACAAGAAACAGAATAACACTGAACTCCAGATAACATCAAAGTCAGACATGGGAAGACAAATACAAAATAGCAGCAATGACAGAGTGAGCAAGGTATATATAGCTGGGATAATGAGTAAATGACTAACAGGTGCTAATGATCAGACAGAATTACAGACAAGGGACTATGGGAAATGGAGTTCACAACATATAACACGAAAACAGGAGAGTGCCCTCAAGTGGCCAGTCCAGGGCACCACAACCAGACACTGTGACATTACCCCCCCTCTACGGAGCAGATACCACACGCTCCACCAGAAAACAAAAAGTTCAGGAGGGAGGTGGAACTGAGGTGGACCAGGGGGAGGGATGGCGGGCCAGGACCATGCAATGGAAGGGGGTTAGGGGACGGGCTCTGGAGTGGGCTTTCCTGTCCTCCTTCTCACCCTCCGCCGCTTAGTGGGAGTCTGAAGGATAGAGGTGGTGGGAAAATCCCTGCAGAAGGGTTCTGACTGGCCTGGTATTGCCCACTGACTTCGACCCTGGAGATACCTGACGAAGCCCCAGAAGTCTAGGATCTCGAGTCCTTCCACCTCCCACTGGGGCAAAGGATTATCCAGACAGATGTTAAGGAGGTCCTTAAGTGCAGCCTCATTATAATCTAGCCCCACCGCCAGCATCCAAAAGGTCTGGGCAAACCCACCAACCTCCATTCCTTCCTGCCTCCAAGCCATCAGAGTCCGGTGTCGAATCATTCGCTCATTCCCTGTGGCAGGAGGGACGATCCGAATGTCCATGGTTCAAAAAAAAGGGAAAAAGAAAAACAAACTGCTGGATCTTGTAGTGGCTGTTATTTTCTGTCACGGGATGCCAGGAGAGACAAGGTAAGATCCAGGTGCAGTTTATTGAAAGTAACAAATAATCAAAACGGAACAAAAACGTGGCAAAAGGTAATCCAAAAACACAAGGAACAGAATAACACGGTGAACTCCAGATAACATCAAGGTCAGACATGGGAAGACAAATACAATATAGCAGCAATGACAGACAGAGTGAGCATGGTATATATAGATGGGATAATGAGTAAATGACTAACAGGTGATAATGATCGGAAATAATAAACAGGTGCTAATGATCAGACAGAATGACAGACAAGGGACTATGGGAAATGGAGTTCACAACATATAACACAAAAACAGGAGAGTGCCCTCAAGTGGCCAGTCCAGGGCACCACAACCAGACACTGTGACATATCCCATATCCTCTTGTTTAAATAAGCAAGTGGTAATTAGATATGGCAATTTCATTCAGTTCTTTTATTCTTTAAAAAAATGTCTTCAGTTTTCGCAGCCTCAAATTCAGTTCAGTGACTGGGAAAATGTCTTAAAACTTAAAAATGACATAGTTTCCTGTTCATTTATCACACTGTAAATGGAAGGCCATGTCGAGCGCATTGCATTGTGGGAAACAGTTTATCCTGCAGTGTGCTCTGATTGCATACTCCACACTTTGGCAAATGTAACAAGTCATCTAAGTATTTCATGCAGAAAGTTTGCATACTGTGTGGTGCTTGAGGATGAGGAAGGACTAGATGGCATTATGATTGTTTATTTGTTTAAAGGAAGCTTCATGCTGTATGAAGTGTTAGTCCAACAGATTTCATGGAGCATTTAGGCAAGTATAATAATTTGCTCCGTCGAGGCGTGCCTGACTCCGTAGTATTGGGTAATGGAATTAGCTGTGGCTTTGATCAATATGAGATGTACTTGGATCGGCCAAAGGCCACAGATCTCCAAAGAGCCAATTTTTGTACACGCAAACAAGAAGAGCTTGTTAGATTTAGCCCAATATATAACTAATACAGCCTGTTGTTCAAAAGCCAAAGCACTGAGGACAGAAATGCTCTCGGATTTCCTGTCCTTTTAGACTTTCTCATCTCTAGGTAGTATTTTTAGTATTCATGAAATTGTGATGATTATTGGTGATGGAAAGTTGTGTTATACAGTATGTTTATGCACCTTTAAGAACTTTTTCTTCTTCTTTTTTTTTTTTTTTTTTATGTTCTGAACAAACTTCAGAAGAAAATAATTTGTTAACAAATTCTTGCTCTTTTGATGCAATTCCTGGAACTGAGGTTTAATTTGTGGTCAGGGACGCGGGAAGTAGGGGTGCTGAGGGGGCTGCAGCACCCCCTTTTTTCACATGGTTGCAAATGCAACGCCAAGTTTGTTCATTTAAATTTATTCAGTTTTAGCATTTAATAATTTATTTGTAATGATCTCTGAAATGTAAATTGTAAGTGGGCTATAATAAACCCATGTTTATCTTTATAAACATGATTAATTTTACTTGTGATGTTTTCTATATGGGATGATTAGCCTAATCCTCATGAACACGTGACGCTAGCGCGCGGTATCAGACATGAACTGTACAGAATGCGAACAAGATTAACTTTAGTACAAGGAGATAATGGCGCAAAAGCGAATATCAGATTTTTTTTAAATGCCCATCCCAGCAAAAACTTTCCAAAATCGGCATCCAAAAAATACCAGCCCCAGCACCGACGTAAGTGAACCAGCCACCCCCCTTCACCCGACACGGACACACACACAGCACCCCCAACCGAAAACATCTTCCCGCGGCCCTGTTTGTGGTAGTGTGTTTTTCAAAGAATTGGTCTAAAAAAACTTTTCATTTTTCTGTGGATGCACTGAAGAGTGTCCTTCACAAAGCAGTCTCTCAAGACCTTCCACGTGATTCACTAGGCTATTAAAGTTTCTCAAGTGTCAAGTAAGTCTCAAGTGTGTGTACATATATTTAAATAATTTTATATCAGTGTCAATTGTGAAGCAAATTGCAAATGGTGTATTGGTTTTAAGACCTGATCTGAAAAAAATTTACCCATACTGTAAAAAAAAAAGACATTATCCATTAATTTCACAGACATTTCTGTTAACCACAACGCAATGAAGGTAAAAATTCAAAATACAAGTAAAACACCTGTAAAAAGAATAAATAAATAAAATGTAATAACCTGTAATAAAATAAAACTAAAAAACCTGCACATTCCTTTATATTAATACAGTACATTGTGCCTTATTTTTACATATTTTTTACAGTGTGTGTGTTTGTGTGTGTGTGTTTATAGTATATACTGTATATATGTATATATCAATTGTATTATTATTATAATAATTGTTTTTAATTTCTCTTATGCTTTCCAAGGCTTCATTACAACAGTAATATTGTGAAATATTACAAGAAAAAAAAACATTTCAATATATTCTGAAAATTAATTTATTCTTGTGATCAAAGCTGGATTTTCAGCATCATTACTCCAGTCTTCAGTGTCACATGATCCTTTAGAAATCATTCTAATATGCTGATTTGCTGCTCAAATAAAAAACAGTTATTTTAAATTGTAATAATATTTCACAATATTATGTTTTTTTTAATTATTTTTTTTATATCAAATAAATGCAGCCTTGGTGAGCAGAAGATACTTCTTTAAAAAAATTATATAATACCTTTTCATATAAAAATGCAACATATTACAGACTTACTTGTGGCTTTTTCTGAGCATTAGTTTGTTTTATCTCTCTTCTTGGGAATTTGCTTCTGATTGGACAAATGCTAATATATCCATCAGATATCAATATGGAAAGGTTTATTATACAATAATTGAAGAATGACTTGTGTCTGTGTGAGTGGATAATGATCTGTCACAGTCGTGTGCAATACAGAGCATTGCTTTCCTTCAGCGCACATGAAACAGATGTTAATTTATCTCAGTGGTCATTAATTGTAGGCTAAGTTTAGCTACTGATGTTACTCTGTCATGAACAATCGGTCAAATCTGTCCTTCATACTGAGCCACTAATATTGTAAATGAAACATTACTTACAGAGAGGGGCTCTCAGTTGGTGTTATTTTGCACGTGTTGCACATGGAGCAAAAAAAAAAGAGAATGACATTTAATTTCTTGTGCCTCACTTTAAGCCCTTTGTCCTGTTTGAATAACATATAACTCCTTTACATATTTCATTGTTCAGCCATTGTCAGCTTTCATGTCTCAATTGAAATTCTACCCTCTAAAGCAAAAGAGAAAAATGGCATATGCGTCCAACAAATCAACATATGACTAAATTCGGTTCCATATTTTATTCATCAGCAAGCAGATAGCAAATGAAAGAAGTGACTCTGTTGCAAATGGAAGGGCTGAGAGATTGTGTGCCTTGATTTTAAGCAGCAGTTGTAATGTAGTGTCCTCTGGGCCTTGTGCATTATGCAAGTGAACATCTTTTTCCCCTCAATAGGGATGACAGGGATGCATAGAGTGGCTAGAAAACATCATTTAAAATATAAATGACTGTGTGATCTCTCTCTCTCTCTCTCTCTGTGTGTGTGT